AAAAGCAGTGATTTTGCTGGCATTTTAACGTGCCACCTGTCATTTAACTGACGGAATGACCATTTTGGTACCGAAAATGAAAGTTCAAGGATAATTTTGGTACTTTTTAAAGCTGAGGGACAATTTTGGTACCAAAGTGATAAGTTGAGGGACTAAAATGGTACTTAAACCATATATATATATCTGCTTTCCTGTACCCAATAAATTAAAAAAAAAAATCCAACATCAGATCAGCGAGCCCTTACCTTTCTTCAAGTTCGTAGCAAAATAGTTCTGCAATGACCATCTCTGCTCCATCCCTTGGCCCCAGAACCTGTCCTCGCCTTCTCTCCTACGCTCCACTTCCTCTTCCTCCTCCTCAATTTTCCTTCCGTTCGCTCCACCTTCCTTCAAAACGGCCTTCCACCCAATAAGAGCTCTGAGAGAGTGGCCAGAGTGCAAGGGGGCAGCGAAGCGCAAGGACCTTACCAGAGGTCTCAGGTTCTTGAAATCAATTGAGAAAGACAATGATGACCCAGTTGAGGAGAAGCTCAAACATGGTTCTTTGTCTATTGAATCGCCTCGGCCCGAACTCGGAGAGCTGGGGTTTGTTGGTGGGTTAGAAAGGGATTGGGAGGTCTTGGATACTTATTTAAGTGCTAGTGATATGAGACTTGTGGGTATTGCTTATGGGTTTCTAAAGGACCGAGGGTTCTTGCCCAATTTTGGAAGGTTCAGTGGTATAGGTATTTTTTTGTTATTAACTCCTGCTGAGGGTGTTCTTTTATATGTTTTGGTTTTGAGTTTTTTCTGTCCTCGGGTATTAATTCACAGCGAACTTGGAAAGGGAAAAATGGGTCTTTTGTCATATGTAAAGGGGTGTGCTTTGCAATTGTCACGGTAACAGCTTTCATTTCTGCTCGAATGAATAATTTTGCTTTTAACTTCTTCAACATGCACACTTTAGGCAGTTCTGGAGGAGCCAAGAGACGTTACACCAAGTGTCTTGAAGCCCTCTACTGGTTTAGATGGTATCTTTATCTTAATTTTTATGAATTTGTCTAAGTTCTTCAAGTTGTTGCATCATCTTGATTTGAACTAGTTTGCATGTAGAAGTCTTTGCAGCTTCAGCAGAATGCATGGTTTTAGATGATTGGGATTATAATAATGTATATCGTTCTATTA